CCCCCCCCCCGCTCCTCCCCCCGCCGCCCCTCCCCCCGCCGCCGCCGCCTCCCCTCCCCCGCTTCCCCCCTTGTTATGGTTATGATGATTTTTCTTTAGCCAGCCATGGCAGAGAGGTGTTAGACACTCCGCCGCTTCCTGATCCCGCTGGCTCCTCCCCGCTTCCCTCAGCAGCTGATCCTCAGCTGCAGCCCGCGCCTCCCGGCCCGGCTCTAGCGTGGCGCCGCCGCCGGTTAAGTCGCTGGAGGAGCGGCGCGGGGGTACAGACACACTCGCCCCTGCGGGGGGACGGTAACGTTCGCCACTCCGGGGACGGACACTTCGCCACTCTAAGGACTTCCTGGGGCAAGGACAATATTCGTCGCTGCGGGGACTTGCAGGAGATCGGACACACTCGCCGCTGCGGGGACCTTTTGGGGCAAGGACGCGTTCGGCACTCGGAGGAGCCGCCGGGGAACGGGTGCACCCGTCACTCGGAGGAGCCGCGGGAGGACGCGTCCCGCCGCCGCTCAGCCGGCCCGGCGGAGTGACCTGCGCCGCCGGCGGCCCCGCGACCAGCACGGAGGTGGCGGTGGGCGGGCAGGTGCTCCCGCCGAGCGGTGAAGGGGAAGGGAGCGCTCCGGACCACGCCCGGCCCGCCTCAAGGCAACGGGCGGGCAACGCACCTGAGGGATGAGGGGAAAAATAGCTCAGGTGCGGGGCCGGTTTGCAGTGGGGCTTGTCCTCTGTAAATGCTGAGTGATTTCTGCGGGAATTTAAAGCATTAGGGCTTTAAAATTCAGTTTGGGTTCTTTTGTTGTTGTTGTGGTTGTTTTCTCTATGATAGCTATTATGGGGCTATCCGAGGTTTCATAGCTTGCTCTCTCCTGCTCCTTCCCGAGCAACACCGAAAACAGGAGGGCTGCCCCATCACAACTGAGTCAGCAGACCTTTTCTGCAGCTCTTGGAAGACTGCTGGACGTACAGATGAATTTTCTTTCCCTTATCCTGCAGTGTCAACTAAACCTCAAAATGCAGCTGGGCTAACCAGGTGGAAGTGATCTATGTTGTCCTTCACTGTAACAATACCCCAACCTTTACCTTACTGGAATAAGAATATCTTTTCTCTTTCACCTGTACCTCTCAGGTAACCTCTGGTGCCATGTAAGGCAACGGGAGTGTCTGTGAGGTGCTGCACAGACCCCCAGTCCTACCTTGCAGCATCTGACTGCATGCTGCCTGTGCACAAAGTCAACAGCTTGAACCTTTCAGGTCTGTATTTCCTCGTGGCACCAGTAGCTAGGGAAGATACAGTTTTGAGAAGGTGAGATGAATTAGCCTGACCATCCTGGCCATCTTTGTGTAGCACTGCATCTGCTAGGAATTAGGAGTCTTCAAACTTTAAAATAAGCCAAGGGAAAAACCATCCCTGACATAAACCATGATGTGGAAAGGTGACAGTACTGTTAGACTGCTGCCATATTCTGGTGACAGCTTTTCCATAGAAATAGAAATTTCATTATAGAAAGTCAGTTAAGTGCTTTGGGTTTCTTCTTGGTTAAGACTGTAGAAAGGGCATCAAATCCTGCCTAAACCAAGCTTTATATTTGACAGCACTATAGCCTTAATTTTAACACATAATAAAAGTAAATAAAAAACTTTCTCTTCTAACTGGGAATAAAAAAAGAATGTAAGAAGTTACATTAACAGTGTTAACATTAAAAATTAACAATGCTTCACAACTGAAGTGAAAATGGAGCAGTAAATCTCTTCTAATCTGAACTGTACATAAGGGTCTTTTCTAGTTACAGTTGTTGATGGCCAACTATTGCAACGTAACACATCTAGCCACCTTCAATATAGAGAGGCAAAGATGCTGTCCACCATGGTTTGTGTTTATTACCTTAGCTTCAGACACAGGTAAACTTCAGAGATGCTATAAAATCATATTTTATAGCTCTGTTTGTGCATCCCATGACATTCTGCACCATTACAATTATATCAGAAACTGTTCTTCACTTCTAAATTCCCAACATGTGGTTCATTTTTTCCACTTTCCTAATGTATTGTTCAGTTTAAATATATTTGAATACCTTTGGTTTCTGTACTGAAATAAATATGCAATATAATAAAATCTCCAGTGCTTTTTCTCCACGTTCTGGATCCAGTCTCTAGGAAAGCTGTGTACTTACATGGTTTTGCATAGAAATAAAACTGTTTCCTAAGCCCCCAGTTCCAGAATTTTAAATAAATATTTAACTGAGTTTGGTTTTGTTCTGTTGGGTTGTTGCTTTTGTGTTTGTTTTTTTTTTTGCTTGTTTGTTTTTTGGGTTTTTTTTAAATCATATTTCTAAGCAGTCAGAATTTAAAAGAAAAATAATAGCAGACTGCCAGTCTGTTCTGCTCAATGACATGACCATATAGGTTAAAAAACTGTATTGGTAAGCATTCTTTTCATTCTGATTCCTTTCTTTGAATTAATTTTGAATATAACATCTAAGGAACTTATCATAGGCTATACAAGTAATATCTTCCTTGGAAAACAACAGGTTGCTGTGTTAATAAAGCCAGAGTGCTATTATCTCTCCAAAGCACATACACTGTTGTCCTGAGTCATACTGAAGTAGCATCAGTGAAGCATCTTTGTCTACTTTCAAAGGAACATTCTGCAGCTTGCAATGGAATTGATGTAGTAATTGCAATTGCAATTGACAGTAGTTAGTCAAACAGACCAAACTTCATCAAGTTGCTGTTCTGGGGGACACATTAGCGTGAGGGGTTGTCACAGACCAAGTTGGATGGAGCTTGGCCAGACTGAAAGGACACAGGAAACCAGACTCTGTACATACTGTTTGAGCTGCTTAATTCTGTAGGATGTTTATAGTCTACTCCATGTCTCAAAGGTAGCATGAAATCAAGCACAACAAATGTCTTGACTGGTATTTCAACAAGTAGGCAACAGAGTGGAGGAGTTAACTGGAAAGGAAATTAGAGATAATGAACAGGGTGATGACTTGCTGTAGATGCCCTTGGAAATGAAGGTAAGTAAATAATGTTTACAGAAGAGGGAACTAGGAGAATCCTTCAAATAGAGAAGTGATGTGGTTAGAGTAATGATCTATGTAAACAATCTTGGGTTGCAGTTTCAGAGTTGCTAATTCCAAGGCTGTGCAGAGCCCAGTCTCTCAGCAGTACTAAATTGATCTCGATGGCGTATGGCCATGGTGTCGCATTGCTCTCCTATTAGCTTCTGTCCATGCTACAGAATTTCTGTTTTGCTTCTGGAAGGATTGGCAATAACTGATCATGGTTTACTGTCTGCTGGCACAAAGTTATTCCTTCAACATTTTTTTCTGAACAAATTTGAATTGGGAGAATCAGTTAAATTGCATTAATTGTTTCCATTTGATGGCTGTGGTGTATTTGATCATTAATAGGAATCCTACAGTCGGCTTGTGTCACAGTTGTCAGACTGTGGCATTTCCAGTGGCCAATGCCTGTTGTCTTAGGAACTGTGTTGGTTAATGCTGGGTGGAGAGGTATTAGGACAGTCTTTGTCTATCAGCAAGAGAACAAGGGTCTTAGCTGCAAGGATGGATCAAAGGACTGTTTTGGAGCTGCCACATGGAAGCTGGAAAACAAGTTTTATATACCCTGGGTGCTAGGATCTAGAGACATTTCAGTCAGACTTGACAGCTGACAAGCTTGAGTGGCAGGTAAATTGGTGATGCTATCCACGGATCTTCTACAAAGAAGATAATAAGAGGGCTTTCAGGGAAGAGTTCTAGCTCTGCTGAGCTCTAATTTCCTGCTATTCATTCACAGAAGAGAGAAGACTGTGTTTTGAGTTTGGATAGGGGGAGGTATCTAATCTGAAATACAAATAAATTAATATCTCTCTGCAGATGATTTATTGATCTGCTCCTTTCCCTAGAGCTAACTCAAAGATAATGTAGGAGGATAACAGAAGGATATGGCTCTCTGAGAGTCTGTCAAACACTAGGAATGAAGTCTTAAATAGGTAAAAAGTATGTAAGTGAAGCATGGTTGATTGTATCAGGTGAGAAAGGATGAGAGTTAATTACTCTTTTTGGGGTTCTGTTGAGCCTTTGATTGGCTTTGGTTAATCCAGAGTGGAAACTGAGAGGTTTGGACACAGATAACTGGATGTCTATGGAGTGAGTCAGAGAGAGTGAATGCATAATTAGGAAAGTGGAGCAGAGTCAAAGGCTTTTATTTGTTTATTTATAACAATATTTTTTATTTTTGAGGGGAAACAGAAAGAATAAACCAAGAAGACCACATAATATTTTAGCCATATCATTTTTTAAAAAAAATAATTTTGCTTGTGTAATTTATTCCCTAGAGTGAAAATTTGGTGGCTTCTGGGCTTTTCTCCTTTTGCTTACTTTCATGGATCAGAAAGATAGGAAAAACAAGGATTGTTTTCTCAAATGTCTCCCCTTGGGACTTGCTGTTCTGCTATGTAGGTTTTACATGCAGCTAAGCCAATCTAATGATTTATGGCCACTGAAAGGTGGCTTTATTTTTTTGTGGTTCTATGTTCTGTCCTTTTCTTTATGCTGATGCTGCTACTTATTCGACTTGCTTGTCTGCCATGTGTTTATTTTCCTCATGGAAGTGTCCCAATGAGTGCCAAAATCAGCACAAGTTAGTCTGGAGTGCCCAGTTGGGAGACTAGTTTTGGAGATGGAGGATGTCATATTCTTAGCAGCCATAAACTGTGAGGCTGACTCAGAGTGCCTTCTGTACTTAACTACTGGGGTAAGATAAGCAGCTCTTCAAGAAATGGAATAGTGAAATTCCTCTCTGTTTCTATATAAGCAATGAGAAGAGTTGGCAGTTAACGAAGAAATACGTTGATGATGATCCATGTTAATACAACTCATCCCCATGGGATTATCTGGCATTTTACAGCTCTGAGTTTTTTTCAGATTCTTTGCAAAACCTGCAAACTCTGTCAGTGAGCTACCTCCTGTGAGCTACCACTGACTCATCTTTTGGCTTAGGATGTAGTTTCACTGAGATCTGGCTGTACGATGACTTAGTACAAGGAGTTAAACCAGAAGAAAACCCAGTTTTTTTCTGGGATAGCTTTCTGCTCATTTAATTCCTTGAATCAAGCAGGCACCAGTATTTGCAGAATTGAGGCTGGAGAAGAATGCTGACAGGTAGAAGGGGGAAGCAGAATTGTCTTTTCAACAGAAGCTAAACCTTCTATTCATATCCACCTTGTTGCAGTGTGAGACTTCACCTTTAGGACCTGGCTTCACAGTTGATTGAAACTGATCTCATTCTGACTACTCTGGAAAGAAACCCTACTGCCTTCCTGGTATCAACCCTGTTAAAACAAGCCCTGCTCAAAATGGCTTATTTGCATATGTAGTCATGGGGTTACTAGCATCGACAGAAGGAAGATAAATCACATTAGGAGATGAAATGTGAGTTTGGATTTTTTCTGTAGCTTGGGATGGGGCCCCAACGAGAGTGTTATTAATGAGCTAGTGGGGACTACATGCAGCTCTCCGCTCATTGTCTGCTACCAGCAATTTAAGTCTTCACTGGAGCCTCTCTTCTTTGATATTCCACGATCATTGATTTTCCTTTGAACACTGACTCATTTACCCTAGTCTTCTCCCTCCTAAAGGATGAGCTAATGTCATTATAAAAATAATTCTTTTTTCTGTGATCAGCAGAACAAGTGAAGCCTGGTTTCCTATGGATTTGTCCTGATGTGGTACTGCTGTGCGGATTCTTGTATGTATATTAAACAGTGTCTGCACATGCTTACCATTTTATCAGTGACAGCTTTATTAGGACCTGTTTCATCCATTTGGCTTTGCACTTTACTTAAGTTACCTCTGTACAAATTTAGATGGAATTTAGCAATGGTTTAAACATGCTTCTTTTGGCAAGGAAAGTGGGGGAAGTAATGAGACCCAGAGGCAGAAACACTAACATAGAGTAATTTCATAAGCCTTCTTTCCTTAGGAAATAAGGCTAAAAATTAGTCTTTTGACAGTGACCTCTGCAGAGACTTCAAGCCAGGCTACAGACACAGAAAAGTTAATGTTGCTGTTTACCATGTAAGGGCTTCCAGTTACCTGCTGGTAACAGATTTCTTGTAAGGCTAAGCCAGCAGTTAGTGTTGCTCACTTGGTTATCTTCTCATCTTCAGCAATGTCTCTATCAGGTTTTGGGAACTTGTGGTGTAGTTTTTGTTTTGTTTTCTTTGTTGTTGTTGTTCTTGTTTTTTTGTTTTGGTTTTTTGTAGTTTTTGTTTTGTTTTTTTGCCAGTGTGCACTTATGCATCAGTTGCTTTCATTTATTTTTAATTTAATCTTTATACTTGAATAAATGTAGATATAAGACAAGATGTTAGAGAGACTTGTGGCTTACAGGACTCTAATGTCGGTGATGCCATAAAAAATAATGGCTTTAAATGCAACCAGCAATATGATCAGAGGATCATACTTGGGAGAAAAGCTAGCTGCTTCTCTGTGAGATTTTTGCTGTGTAATAAATATTGGGGTTTTTATTGCATTTTTCTCTGTTGTAAATTTACACTTCTATTACTTTAGCAACTAAAATAAACAACTTGTAAGAGGAAAACCTGCTTTTTCAGATTTCTGGGTGGATGCCAGTTTATTACAAAGGGGCCAGTTTATTACAAAGGGTCCACCTGCAAACAACCTTTGCAGATTTTTTCAGCAGCTGGATCCTGGAGCCAAACAGCATCATCTTCTTGGTTCTCTGTCCAATCACTTGGGCCTTGAAATGTCTGTTCTGTCCCCAGGTGTTACCTTTTTTCCTTGAACTAGTTTATAGATAGATCAGTTCCATGATTTTCTGACCCTGTCATTACAGAAATGTGCATGCTGGAGCAAGGGAGCAGGGAGTGAGCAGTCAGTCACAGGTACAACAGGAAGTGTGGGACTATCTGTCCAAGTGGTAATCCAGGTTTATGCTAGATTCCAGTGATGATACAAAACAAAGCACTGTACCTTGAAGGATATGTGTCAAGGGAAGAGAGAGGGAGAGAAACAGGCAGAACATGTCCCTCTGACTGTGGGAACTCAGATATTGCCAGACACCCCCAGCATTCTCTCCTGAGCATGCACATGATGCACTTCTCTGAGCACAAGTCATGTGAGAAACTTCATAGTGCCGGCCCCTGCTTGGTGACCTGCCCTTCAGCTGGTCAGCTGTGTCTGCTGCATCAGAGCATAAGGGATGGATGGAAAAGCTGGGGCCAAGCAGGCCTTCCCTCTAGAGGAGAATGAACCAGAGACAAGATGTGAGTTACTGCAGAGAAACTGCAATGCTTTGTAACTCAGTGAATTAATATAAAAATGGATAAAAGTTTCTTCACTGTAGAGCAAGACTGAGAGGTTTTGCAGAAACACTTAAGATACAGAAGCTGTAACTCTAAGGTATAAAGAATTTGTACATTCAAAATACAGATGCAAGTAAATACATGCAAAAACAAAACTCTGATCCTACCCCCAGCACCAGTGAGATCTAATATGGCCACATAGTGATGGCATAGATCAGGTCATTAGAACAAGTAGCTGCTTAACCTTTAATAGCATTGCCATCTTATTTCTGATAAGGAGGGCCTTCTTTGCTCAGAAAACTGTTATTCTGGAAATCTCCTGTGTTCCTTGTGAGTTATCACAATGCCTGTACCTCCTTCTTCAGTTAAGAAAAAAGGGGGAAAATAAAGACGAGTTACAGACTGAAAAAAATACTGCTTCTATAGGAGATTTTTGCCAAATACAGCCATTAGCTGCTTTGTTGCACTCTTTGGACGATGTGTCTGCTAAGTACCAAGTCTCTCCTAGGGAGATCCTCCTACCCTGATGACTACAAGTGGCAAAGTTAAAACAAAATTTGATGCTGTCAAATTGTTAAATTGATTTCACACAGCATTTTCAGTGGGTTCAGTCTCTAATTCAAATAGATGCAGCTAGGTGGAATTCTAACAGCACAAAATCTGGGAGATACCGGGAATTGCAAAGGAATTTGAAGAAATTGAGTGCTCGGATCCTCTTATTGGCAATGGAGTTTGGACTTAAAACTTGTTTGCTTTTTAACAGTGATGACCTCAAGCACTGATGATCGTAACCCTGAATACAGCAGCTGCCTGTATACTCACTGTCCAGGTTTTGTGGTGTCACACTTGTAACGTTCCTATTTCTCCACACACACGGGGGGAACAATCGCTTGTCATGACTATTCCTCTGTTAATTTCTTAATACTCTCCATTTGATTTGTTCCCTCTTTGTTTTCTTCCAATGTGCCGCTTTGGAGGTGGCTGCGATTTGCTATTTATTGTCCTGGCTGCCTTTGTTCTTTACTTCCCATTCTATTCCGCTCCTCCTGCCCCAGGGGCTCCCCGGCGCTCTGCGTGTGGGTGACTTCACAGCCGCTGCGGCTCGCTCCTCAAGCCCTCCCTAGTGGCAGAGAACAAACCGCACTTTTTACTCCAAAAATCTCTTTTTTAAAGAGCTGGCTTTCCGGTGTTCTTGCCAGCATTTTGCCCCGGCTGAAGGCACGTTGGCGCCCGCCCAGTGACACAGGCATCCCGCCACTAGCTGCCGTACAACATGGCGGCGCCCGCCGCCCACTCGTACCGCCGGCACAGAGGAAGCGTCCGCCACTCTAAGGCTCCCGGTGTGTGTGGCGACTGCCCCGCGGGGCGTTCCTGCAGCCGGACGCAGCCGTTCCGCGGGACGCAGGCAGCGGGCAGATCGGTGGGCGCCCGGCGGGGCCGCGGGCGGGCGGCGGGGCCGGGCGCGGGGGAGAGGCTGCTGCGCGCATCCCGGAGAGGCGGCGGCCGCAGGTGCGCCGGTGCGGGGTCCGGTGCGCCCGCGGCCTCCCGCATGCTCGCTCCCGGCGTCCGGGCCTCTTCCCTGGGTAGATAACCGCGACCGAGCCTAAAGCGGGCAGCGCCTGGTGCTGGGGGGAGCCGCGGGCGCCCCGCCTGCCACCATCCCGCCGGGCCTGGCAGCGGCCCGGAGGAGTTGGGCTGGGGTCCCGGGCCCGCTCCGGGCCCTGGCGCGCCGCTGCCGCCGGGGCTGAGCGGGGGCAGGGGTGTCTTACAGGGGCTTTTCCTGGCGCGGAGGGAGATCGGCACAAGGATCACGGGCATCCCCCGGCTGCCAGAGGGATAGTGGCTGTTGGACCGAGGCAGAGGCCGTCGCTGCGGGCCCGGTGTTGGCGCTCGGATTACGGGGTGGCAGCGAATGACCTGTTGCTTCGAGGGCCCTCAGGCAGGTGCCCGGGCAGTGCTCGGGGTGCTGGGAGCGGCTGTGCAGGGCTGCAGTAGCATCAACACCCCAACTTCTGCGTGTGGGGAAGAGTGCGTGGTGAGGACAGCCCTTTAGAAACAACGTGGTGGGTTGGGGAGGTAGCGATGTGTTGCAATCAGCGATGGAGGGGCAGGATTGATTTCAGTTTATTCAAGAGGTACTAAGCTGTATGATTGAGGGACAGCTATGGTAAAAATAAGATGCTGCTGCTTTAGGGCTTTTCAATGCCTGAAGAGCCATTTGACCCTAGTATGGATGTGAATGTAATGGGCAAATGCCTGATATTTACTAATGCACGAACGAACATGCTTATTCTGCAGCAGTTTCATTTTGGCCTTGTTTAGGTTGATCTAGTTACAAACTGAACTAAAACCTGTTGATAATAACCGTGACTAGTTTATTTTTTGAATAGCAGAGTTTGTGGAAGCGCTTAGTTGCACCAGTGTAATTTAATGGATTCCCTTTAAGGTTTTTAGTGGTATGATCAACAACAGCATTCAGTCTCCTCTTCCTGCCCAATCCAGCAGGAATCTGTCCACAGGTACCCAGTCTATCAAAGTGGGACCTAGATCTTTTTCCTGTCAGGATCACAAGTTGTGGCTAGAACCTCGTTATGATATCATTGCATGTGTTTAATATCTCTAAACACATTTCATTAAGTTGCCTTTAATTTATTTTATTTTTCTCTGCAGGCCATGATGAAATCCCACAATGCCATTTTGAGAGGGTGAGGTGAAGGGGGAGAAAAGGGCAATAAAAAATGGCCAAGCAAACAGCCGTGACGATTACTTTGGCGACCCTGCTGGGTGTTGCACTGGGGGGCCTGGTTTTGTGGAAAGCGACCCAGCGTCGGAAAGGAAAAACACACTGTAGTAGTCAGCAAGAGGAAGCAACAGTGAAGTCTGGAGATGAGAAACTCATTAAGGCAGAGGATAAGAAGGTGCTTTCCTTCCTCAAATCTCCCACCTTTTTCTGGTTAGAGAGGACCCTTGGTGCAGACATAGTAGTAGTTTCAGTGCAGGAGGAGTGGGATCATGTTGAGCCATTGCTGAAGAAGGAGCTGGAGAAGTGGCCGGTTCTTGGAATTGACTGTGAGTGGGTGAGTGATCAGGAGGTGCCTCTCCTTCCTTTAGATTTCAAATTGCATGGGGAAATCATTGAAGGTGGAGCAATTCCTTTGCTTAAACAGGTACCACGGGGCTGACTATTGAAACTGTGATTGTCTGTCATGATAGCAGTGAAGAAGCTGCTAATTTTGATTCTTCTTGTGTTTAAACATGCTAAGTTGTTAATTCACCAGATGTATTTGTTTACTGAGTTCCTGTGATAAATCGACTTTACTAAATATAGTAACAGTTGTATGGCCAAATACAGCACTATGTGTTTTGTTTAATATCTCTTTAGAAGTAGCTTGAGCTTACACTATTTTAAATCCAGTTACATATTTAAGAAATAATATCTTAAGAACGTTAAATTCAAAAAGTAGTATAATGTTGATACATAGATAAAACTCATTGGGGCAACCAGAAAGTTCCTCTTCTACTTGAACATTTGCATGTGAGATATCTCAAACAGCCTTAAAGTAATTTATAAAGCCTGGCTTTGCCATTGTTTTGACTGGAAATTTATTCACCCCCCAGTCATTAGTGTAAGCCACAGTTAAACAATATATTTACGATAAACATTTATATAGTGGGTGGCTTTGTGCTGATGTGGATTCAAAAATGTTTCTGATTTCTTCCACCAGCTCAGCTATGAAGGGGAAAGGTGAAAGGGGGAAAGATTCTCTTGTGGGAATGTGGCAAGAAGTAGCTTGAGGACAGTAATACTGTGAAAAAGACCACATAACTTGCAGTGAATTTTTAGAGACATGTAACAATACTTGACTTTGTAAACTGATAAGTATTTTCTGCTTCTAGTAGCCTTTTTGCCATTTGCTTCAGTTCCAGTATTACTAATAATATGGTATCCTGGACTCTCATTTTTGATTTCATTACAGGTGTCTGTGGAGGGAAAAGCAAATCCTGTATCCCTGTTACAGATGGCTTCTTCCAGTGGCCTCTGCATTCTTGTTCGGTTGCCCAGGCTTGTTGCCAGTGGCCAGACTCTTCCAAAGACCCTGTTGGACATCATGGCAGATAGTGCTGTGTTGAAAGTTGGAGTAGGATGCTGGGAAGATGCTTGCAAATTGCTTCATGATTATGGCCTTCCAGTCAAAGGGAGCATGGATCTCCGGTATTTAGCCATGAGACAGCGGTAAGTGCCTGAAGACAGAGGTGGGTCCATTTGAGGCATCATTTGAGTTGGAAATATATCTTAGGTGATTTGCAAAAGCTAAATGATATCAGGCTGGTATGTCTGGAATTCTCAGGGTGGCTTTAGAGAGTGGGCATTGATAGCTGCAGCCCAAGAACATTTATGTCATGCTTCTATTCTGTGGTCTTAATGGAAATGAAATCTTCATGAGGAATTCATTTGCTAGTTGTGTCCTTTAGTCTTCTCTCACAGACTGGTACCTTTGTGGGCTTGTCTGTGTATCATGCTTCAGTTTTTAAGAAGTTCAGGCACAATGATGTAATGCAGTGAGAGTGAACACTGTGTCAGCAGATGTTTGAATACACTGCCTAGAAGTGTGAGTTAAATGTGCCCAGGGCACATAAGTGGAACTGTTGAATTTCAAGATTTCTTGAAAAATTGCTAAATAAATAAGTTCCAGTTTTCTCTTTTAATAACAATTCTTTTATGGAAAGGTTACACTTGTGATGCCATTTTCTTATCTTTCACTCTTCCTAAAACAAAATGTTTTACTTGCAAAATAGTCTTCATGTACAGTTATATGTGTGCCTGGGTGTGGTGTTAGTGATCTGGGCCGTGGGTTTGCTGACCTGTTGGTGCCTTTTTAGCATTGAGAATGGACTTCTTGTCTCTGGTGGCCAGGATTCTTCCGAGTCATTCCTGGTTCTTGGGCTTCTCATGAATCCCTGGGACAATACATACATCACTGTATGATGGACCTCTTTAGCTCAGAAGTGAGTAGTAGATCAGAGCCAAACACTTCAGCCTTAAATGTTACTAGCTCCTAGCCTTGCCTGCTTTGCATATTGCAGACACGAGATAACTACTAAATCTAGAAAGAACATTTTAGTAGAGGGGAGGGAAAGGGCCTGTAAAGCTGACAAGCGATAGTGTGACAGTGTGCTTGTTGTTTGAGTCATGCATCATGTGCATTGTGTTCTCACAGGTTCAGGCTGTATGAGGCCATCTCAGTATATAGTTTCATTTTCAATATGTTTATTTCACTTTCTTTGTTGAACTGCAGGAAGGATCTACTTCACAACTGCCTTAGCCTTAAGTCTTTAGCAGAAAAAGTCCTGAACTTCCCACTTGACAAGTCTCCTCATGTGCGTTGCAGCAACTGGGAAGCAGAAGAACTGACACAAGATCAGGTGTGTTCTCCACTTAAACTTAACTGTTTCGGGAGGAAAAGTAACCTTCTTAGTTGAAAAAGAGGGAGATCTGAGCCTATTCAGATTATACCTCAAAACCTTACGTGTGACAGGGCCTAAAGCTAATTTCAGACTCACTGCTTACATTTCCCTCCTTTTCCATGAAGATAATTTTTTGCTATTCTCCCTGGATTCTTTACCCTTGTTTTCCTTTAGTCCTGAAAGATATGTGAGGCAAGATACTTTGAAGAAATGTTTCCAAGACCTGACCTTTTCATTATTTCCTTCAGTCTATAGCAGTCTGCAGTATTTGAGAGATACTGGAAATCTTGTTCACCTTCTTTAGAGCATTGTTGTTTTCCCTGACTTCTTTAGTCAAGCTGTACATGCCTGCATAAGTAGTGACCGGCAGAGGGAGTGACAGGACAAAAAAACCATGCTGAATACTCAGCCACTGTGTCAAAAGGGAACTTTTTATGAGGGGGGGATTGGTAAGGTTGGAGGATGTATGACTTAAATATATTTTCAGACCCTTGCAGTTCTTGGGGGCACTACCCCAGGGTAGTGGGATGTGATGATGTTATGAAAGTGCCTCTCAACTGGCAAAACTTCTCATGTGAACTTCAAAAGGAAATGAATCCAGCTTCTGGTTTTACTGTACCTTGTGCTAAAGACTGATAACGTTGGGTGTATTTGCTGTTTGTCATTATCTTAATTTCTCTGCTTTTCTGCAGGTTCTCTATGCTGCTAGGGATGCCCAGGTCTCAGTGGCTCTGTTCTTTCATTTGCTGGGATTTGCCAGCCTCCCTGATACATCTGAAGGTGAAAACTCTCTCACTAATTGGGAGAAAGTACAGGGTAAATGCCAGGGCTTGGTGGATATCCCATTTAGAGGAAGGAAGAGTGGCAGCACAGGAGAGGAGAAGAGTGGAGAGGTACGTTCCCCTCAGAAAACAAAGAATCGGAAATCTTGGGTGAATGGCCAGCCCCCTGGCAATCAGCAAATGAGAGATCCACGGAGACAGAAGCGAAAGCCTCTGGGTGTGGGATATTCTGCACGGTGAGTATGTGAGCACATCTTACTCTTTGCATTGCATTCGGAAAACCCTGAGTGTTGCCTCATGCTATAGTCATTAAACAAAGCAGATAGTGTGAACTAGGAAAGGGAACACAGAACCTAGCAGTCAGGGGGTCCTGTTTCTGTTTTCCTCATTTTCCTCTAGGTGGTATTGAAAGTAGGAGCACTTAGATCTTTACTTAGATCATGAACAAGTTGAGGTGTTGTTTTTAAGTTTTTCCCTTCTTTCCTTCCCCTGTGGAAGCATTAGCCAGAGAGCAGAGTCATAGCAGTTGGCTTTCCAGGTGTTATTCTTGGGTATCAAAGGTGTCCTGAGCAGGGCCAGGAGTTGGACTCGATGATCCTGATGGATCCCTTCCAACTCAGCCTGTTCTATGGTTCTGTGATTCTGCTACCCAAACAGCTGTGCCCTGTCTTCTCCAAGGAAAAGATGGCAACTGCACAGAGCTTGCCCTTTCATCAGGGTCTGCCTCGTGGACTGTTGTTTGTCCTTTGGTGTCCCATGTCTCCATGGCCACAGAGATGGCAGGGCTGAAAGCTGAGGTTAGCAGGGGTAAGACATGGTATGTGCGGTGCCAGAGGGCACAGGAAGGAACAGCCTGTGGTAGCAGCAAAGCAGTGCCCTTCTGTGTTGGCCAGGGGGCAGGGGGAGAGAATAGTTCTGCTTTGGCCCTGCAGAGGCAGCTGTTGCTGGATTCAGGATTATCATCCTTGCAGGCGGTTTATTGGAGTGAATCCTTAAATTTTTGTGGGCTTTTGCTAGTAAGAGTTCAGTTGTTTTTAAATGAAAAACAAGTTGGAAAAGTCACTTTAAGCTAAATGTAGTGGAAGATGTGGGATATCTATATGTTTGGTTTTGGTCGGATACAATCTAATAAATTTTATCACTGGACATAACTAAAATTATACATAATTATCATTAGGAAAGAAATACATTTTTGTATTTGTATTTTTTCCTTTTTAAGTTTATTGGATTGGCAACAGAGAAATTTTAGTGTAATCAATAGTATTGATTTCATTAGCAGTGATTAACAGTATCGTGTTTTACAGAGCAAGTCCCTCTTTTTTTTAATTTTTTTTTATTTGGAGGCTGTATAATACAAAACAGAAGGACTGTGTCTCACAGGAGGATAAAAATTTAAACAAAATTACATTCCAAGATAAATTAAGATCTCCCCCATATATGTTTATTTATTTTTGGTTTTTTACTGTGCTTGACTTCATGAGAGATATGTAGACTCACTGCTTTTTTCAGTATTTACAGCAATGTGCCTCTGGTCTGTAATAACACAGTGGATGTGGTTTTGAAAGTCCTTTTTCACTCTTCCTTTCTATTTAATTCTGTTTAATTTTAATGTTTATTCATTTAGAGTTGGGAAGTACTGAAATTGTGGTAACTGAGTTGAACTGTTGATGCTCAGTGGAAGGAGACCTCGTGTATCTTCTGTTGGGTTTTTTTCCCCTCACAGACCTCAGAAGAAATAATTTTTTTTGATTGCATAGCCTGTGAATCAACTTTGTTATCTGGTAGAGCCCTGCTGAGTACTAATTTGTACAATCTCACTGTAGAGAGGAAAGGAAACTTTTCTGCAGTATGTTGTGATATATCTGGCCAGTTCCTCCCAGGTCCTCTCTTAGCCCAGCCTGCTCCATGCTTCAGTTTTGTTTGAAGGATGTTGGCAGAGTAAGGAAATGTTTTCTGCAGAACAGAGCCCTTCCACATACTGCCACAAACTGCCAGAGACTGCTCAAGCAGGACTTCTTGTCACTGCCAAAGGTTGGGGCCTGTGTTTGAGGGCATCAGCTCAGCTTCGTTGTTCTCCTGAACTCATGTTCGAGTTCCCAGTGCTGCAAGAGTGTTTTTGGACCATTTCTCTTGGGTGAATAAAGTAATTGCTATTCACACTAAATTTTAGAAAGGTTTTCATAATAAAACGTTAAAATCTAGGCTTAGGCAGTTGATCCTTGAAACTGCCTTGCCTGTAAGTTGATGCTTACTCTTAAGAGCTTACTCTTAAGAGTGCTCATCATCCTTTGTGACTTCAATTCTCTTTTGTTTTCTAATTAATTTGTAAAAAAATGCTGTCTTAATTGATGGCATCTCTTGAAAATTTGGATTCAGGAGTTAGAATTCTGTTGGCAGCAGGAGAGCAAAGATACCTTAGAGTCACTTGGTGAACCCTGGATAGATTTTCAGATGTACTTCCCTGAGCAGCAGCCTGGGGAGTGTCTCAGCAGTGTCAAATTTGTGTTTAGGGGTACTCCTTTGATTCAGAGGGAGCTGCCTGAACTGCAGTGGGACACAGGGCTATAGAAAGCTCTGGGGTTTTTTACATGCTATTACAGGTGCTGTAATACTGCCCTTGTTTCATAGAAAATCCCCATTGTATGACAACTGCTTCCTGCATGCACCAGATGGACAGCCCCTGTGCACTTGTGATCGCAAGAAGGCTCAGTGGTATTTGGACAAGGGGATTGGAGGTAAGCATACCAGTTTTCCTGTTGGTATTGGAAATGCAGCTCTTTCTGCCCTCCTCTCCCCCCTTTCCCCCTCTGCCACCTCTCCCCTCTCTCTCTCTCCTTCCTCTTCTTCATAATGGAGCATGAATTTTTTTGTATCCTTTTTTATTGGAGGTACTGTTGGCAATTCACTAGAATTCACTTACATTGTAGCATTGTTATTTTAGCTTTTCAATACAATTTGTCTTGAACATTTTCTTTGCCTTTATCCTTTTAGAGCTAGTTAGCACAGATCCTTTTGTTGTGAAGCTGCGGTTTGAGCCTTCAGGACGTCCTGAATCTCAAGTTGATTATTATCTGACAGTCAAGGAAAACCTCTGTGTTGTGTGTGGCAAGCGAGAATCCTATATCCGGTGAGTTGTTTAGTGGGTAGGAGAAAAATTCATCTTCTAGAATAGGACTGAGATCTGCATCAAGTTTGGTATCCAGAAGTTTGGTTAGTGGCCTGAAACATTGTGCTTGCTCATGTCCTGGATGGTACACTGTTTGAGTGCTCTGCAGTTGTTTGGCTGTGTGAGACACTGAAGAGACCAGCCTTTCCTCTTACAGAGGCAGGAGATACTGATCCCAGGAGAGATCAGAGCATATGGAACTTGCATGTGCTGCCGTTTGAGTGACGGGGGCAGCAGTGTGCTGACACACATTGGGTGGGTGGCATCCCCTCCGAAAAGAGCAGTACTGTTCCTTCTACTACCTAATCCTTTATTTTTGAAAGGTTTAGGTGAGCCTAAAGCTCACGAGATCAAAAAAAACCAAGGTTTTTCTCTTTGTCTTTTTGGTTGCTACTGATTAGTAGAGAAGTGTACTTGTCATAGTGCATTACTTGATTTTTTATTTTTTCTTTTACAATATGAATCTTTAATTGAAAATGATGAATTTTTGGAAAGGAAAAAAGAGAAATGCAGAAAATCTCGAGAGAGAACTACAAATGAAAAGAATAAAAATAATCACTTTCTGTGATTTCTGTGTCCTGGTAATCTTTGCTTACCTGGACTTTTAGTTTTAGTTATCTCTTTCTGGGGCAGGAAGAAAAGGAACTGGGAAGCAGCAGCTCCAGACAAATACAATGAGCTGTTTGTTTTGTCTTCTCTAGGAAGAACGTTGTTCCTCACGAATACCGAAGACACTTCCCCATCCAGATGAAGGACCACAACTCGCATGACGTGCTCCTGCTCTGCACATCTTGCCATGCCATCTCCAATTACTATGACAACCACCTCAAGCAGCAGCTGGCCCAGGAGTTCGGGGCTCCGATCGGCTCCGAGGAAGGTGTGCGTCTCCTGGAGGACCCTCTGCGCAGGCAAGTGCGCTCGGGGGCGCGAGCCCTGCTGAATGCAGACAGCCTGCCTGACCCCCGAAGGGCAGAGCTGCTGCAAAGCATCAAGGACTTCTATAACACAGACACAGTCACTCCAGAGATGCTCCAGGCAGCAGCTGGTCTGGAAACCAGGTATAGCAAGCCCATGTAGGCTGGATGTAAGGTTTTTAGTAATTTATACTGCATTTCTTACTGGTTTTGTTTTCGTTTGTACCCATCTCCCCTCAACCCACCACTGGGTCCTGTCTCTGGACCACAGCTCTTGTCTCTTTCCCACTTTCCCTTCCTCCTCACCAGTCTTCTGATCTTGCTCTCCATCTTCCCCTCCAACATTTTGCACTTCTTCTGAAGGACAGATCAGGAAGAGAGTCTGAAGAACAGTCATGTCAGAAGTCTTCTTCACTTTCTTAAAGCCACTAGACTATTGTCTAGTCTCTGCATGAAATGTGTATTTTGTCCTCTTTATGCTTACTGTTATTTGTAAAGTGCAGATGTTGTAACTCAGAACCCATCCAGGCAGGGAATTCAGTGACAGGCTCAGCACTCTTAGGGGTCATATGATTCTTGCCTTGAGAAATTTGCAGTCTCTTTAGGAGGTTGTAATGGACCTTAAGAGCTTTGTTTAGTGTTGCTGTAAAGAACAACACTTTCTCAGTTCAGGGAAACCAGCTTTACAGTATAACTGTTCTGCAGAAAACAGTCTGGCAAAAGCTGAAGCAAAGGTTAAAATTCTCTCTTGGTTAGCTTGCTCTGTCTGTAATTAAACTCTGCAGCTGAAAGTATCTTCAGTGTCTTGCTGTTCACTGGAGACAGATCTGGAGTCTGACAGTGGGCTTGTGTGAAAATAAATTGTGCTTGTGTCCTGGCAGGATCTGCAATGAGAGCTACGTGCCACACGGGCTGAAGGTGGTGCAGTGTTGTGCTAAAGGAGGCCTGCGCTCTCTTATGCAGCTGGAAAGACGCTGGCGGCAGCATTTCTTGGACAGCATGAAGCCCAAACACCTCCCAGAGCAATGGTCAGTGGACCATAATCATGTGAAGTTGATCCAAAAATATGGGGAGGATCTTCAGATCAAGCTGTCATGAAACTAACTTCCTGAACTCTGGATACTGTCTAATGGACATCTGTAACTGAAGATGGAAAGACAATTTTTATTTCTATGTCTACACTAATACCTGGGGCCTGGGTTTGCAAAAGGGCAGCAGTAGATCTGCCAGATTTTCCAGTTAGAGTTAAATTTGACAGTTTATAGAGTTAAATCCCTTGACTTGAACTTTCAGGTTTGGAAGTTTAATCCTAGTTTGTCACTTACTAGTTTGGTGCAAGAGTGATAAGGGAACTTGTCTTCTCAAAGTGACTGTGAAGAAACATTTTCTAGCCCCCAGGATGTCTGATGCCTTCATATCATCTCTCATAATAAAGTGAGTCCAGAGAAAGGCAACAAAAGCACAATAGATGAATGTTTCTAGATGTTCTGACATATATTTGTACCCTTGACTTTGCCTTGAGAGTCTTTTATCTTGAGGGTCTTCTTGATAAAAATCTTTCTTTCTTTTCAGTGCAGTTGTACTTACAAGAGTTCTTCCTAGAGAAGACCTCCTGCCAGAGAGGGATTCCTTGTTTGGAAGAAGTGAAGAAACCTTATTTTTTGCAGATTCTGAGCTGTCCCAGTGTTGCAGATAGGCCTCAGCAAGTTTCCTGGTAGCAGGTGCCTGATGAGAAGTGACACTCTGGCAGTATGGAAATACCCATGCCAAGTCTTTTGTTAAACAGCTTCCAGTAACACAGAGTTTGTAAAAATTGCTTTTTCTAATCCTGCTTGTTTGTCATGACTAGCGTGCTCATGCCTGCAGGGCTGTTACAGAGATGGGGTGGCATAACTCCTGTGACTGGAGTGTTGGAATGGAAGGATGCAGGCTCTTCAGGAAGAGGAGGCACTGGAGGCAAGGAGGAGGTGTAACCTTCTGTGTCAATGATTGGTTGGAGTGCATGGAGCTCCATTTGGAGTGCATGGAGCTCAGCCTAGGGATGGATGAGGAGTCCATCAAGAACTTACAGGTCAGGATTAAAGGGAGGGAAAACACAGGTGACAGAGGGGATCTGCTACAGGTTGCCCAACCAGGAAGACTGAGAGGATGAAGCCCTCTATAGGTAAGAGCAACCTCGTGTTCACAAGGCCTAATCTTCGTGGGGAACTGCAGCCACCCCATATCTGTTGGAGAGGCAACACAGGAGGGCATAAGCAATTCAGGAGGTTCCTGGAATGCATTGATAACTTTTCCAGAAAGCCAACTGCATCATGGGCTGCATCAAAAGAGGCATGACCAGCAGGTCAAGAGAGGTAATTCTTCCCCTCTATTCTGCTCTTGTGAGACCCTTGGAGTACTGTGTCCAGCACTGTGGCCCCCAGAATAATAGAGGAAGTCCAAAGGAGGGCTACAAAGATTATTAGAAGGCTGAAGCACCTGTCCTATGACTTCTTACAAGAGTGTGTAGTGATAGAACAAGGATTAGTGGATTTAAACTCGAAGAGGCTAGGTTTAGATTAGGTATTGGGGAGAAATTCTTTGCTGTGAAGGTGGTGAGGCAATGGAAGAGGTTACCTGAGAAGCTGTGAGTGCCTCATCCCTGGAAGTGTTCAAAGCAAGGTTGGATGGAGGTATGAGCAACCTGCTCTAGTGGAAGGTGGCCCAGTCCATGGCAGGGATGTTGGAACTGGATGGTCTTTGGAGTCCCAACCCAAACCATTCAGTGATTCTTTGAATACCACTTGGTGAGTACCTTTTCATATCAGAATGAAATAAGGACAGGTACCTCAAAAGGGATGAGAGGAAACAATTTAAAGACCAGAAGCTTTTAAGAGACCTGATCACACGTGGCAAAAAATGGAAAAACTGATGTTTTGTACCTGGATTTGACATGTGCGGTGGTGAGCAGGTTATACTCTCTTCATGCCAGTTTCTCTGTCTCTAAAATGAGACTAATAATACTTAACTATCTCACAAAGGTGTTGTGAGTCTTAAATAACTCATGTTTTTGTAAAATGCTTTGAAAATATGAGCTAGTGTGTGCTAATTGGTGTTGCTGTTTTTTAAGATGTGCTGCTAACTTCATTAAATATTCATGTTTTTTGTCTAGTGCTAGACCTTAGTTAAAGATAACTTTTTAAAACTACACACTCCTTTCTGTAAAATTCCTTTTGATGATTTTGATTGCATGAGATGAGTGTGCTTCTACTGAATGATGAAGCTATGCTCAACTTTTATACGCCTCTGTAAAGAAGTTTCAGTAAAACCCTTATCTTCCCACTGCTGTGTGTAGCGCAGTTGACCCACATAATTTTAGAACATTTGGGCAGAATCCTGGACCTGCTGTGATTGTGGCTGAAACTGTCCCTTATCAGATAATTCAAGAAATTTTACAGGCCAGGGGTAAAAGCACTGTTTGTAGCAGAGATTGTTTGAGATAAGTAAGGAGCCATGGAGAGAAATGGTAAATTAATGCCATCCCAGAGGAGCTGCAGTAGCAGCATGAGGAATCAAAGGTTCATGATAAATACTACTTATCACAGAGCTGCAAATGAGATAATTTTCATTATAAGGTCAATCTTTTTCCTGTACCACTGGCAAGTCTTAACAAAAAATCTTCTAGCCAAATGTGGTATGTGTCTGTGCTCATTCACACAGCTGATTATAATCCCAGCACGACCTTCCTGCCTACAGCAGAAGTTTGGATATAACTATTTCTCTCCAAAGCATTTAGAGCATGTGTTCAGATAGTGCTATATCCTGTCTCCATCTGATTGGGGTGTTGAGAGCTCTCTGCATGACTCAGGAACTCCTTTTCTGTCATCAGGAGTACAAGGTGTCCATTTCACCTCTTTGTTCTGCTTTGTTTTTACTCCCTTTGTTCTGATATAGGAACTCCTGATCAAACTCTTTAATGGGCTGACCACAGGGTCAGGTCTTTTCTGTTTGTGAGACTAGAAAGTAATGTGGAGACAAGAACTGGACTGCAGGTCCTGTATTTTTAAGGAGCGAGTGGTATCATTGAAGAGAGTTTCTTTCAAATCACTTGTTCAGAAATAGACACTAGCAAGGAGAACTCAAATATTTTCTAAGCTAAGAGTCTTTGTTGTTTGTAAGATATCCTTAACATGCATAATTTTAATTCAGTCTGAAAAAAGAGGGGGAGCAATATATTTATTACGCAGAAATAGATTTGCTTTATTTTACTATGATTTTAAATTTTCTACCAGTCTATAGATAAAACTTCCTTGTATGTCTCTGTTGCTAATTGTTACATTCTATAAAAATTTACTCTTTTACCAGACTTACCACTTTTGAAGTTCTTTTGTTCCTTTCTTGCATGCTTCTTTTTCTCTTCTTTCCTTGTGTCTTACCCAGTCCTTACAGTAACACCTGGACCTCACCCTCCAAGCTTCCCTTTCCAGCATCTTCCCTGATTTGTGTGTCAGAGATCAGCTGTGGAAGAGCCCATGCTGGGGGCAATACTGTACTTATAAGCAGTGGGATGGGATTGTGAGCTTGCTCAGGTATGTTTGAATAGTGGATTCAGATGCTGTCCTTGGCCTGGTCATTTGGGTCAGTCATGGCTGCAGATCTACATTTGTTCAAAATGAAACCTTAGATTTTCTCTTAGCCTGAGCATTCATCTAGGTTGCCCCAAGTATTTTACCTTAAGTGGGACAGTCCTGCACTTAATGACACACATCCATTTGGTCTTTGCGGGGGGAGAATTGGCAATGTTGTCTGTATGAGCTGGCTTTCACAACATGGGATTTTTCTTTCTGTTGCTTGTCACTTCACATTTTTAAGTTTCTCCAAAGTATGCTGCCAGAGATGGGGGAGGGAAATTTTCCCTTTTACCTGGTGCTTGGTGCCACCTACCTCAAACTGCTCCTTGCAGGTTAGCAGGGAGCACATCTCATCTGCTGAGATCCCTAAACCTGTCTTGGCTTACGAATTCCCTCAGAACTTGCTTCCATTCTTTTTGTTTCATGTGTGTTGCCCATGGGAAACAGATGTTCTTCTGTAATAGTACAACTGGGCACAAATCTCCAGAGACACACCTCTGGAGTGGGAGAAGCAATGGCCCTTGAAGCTCTTCCTCCATGGGCTACAAACAGTTTTCTGTCTTTCCAAACACTACAGTTTGTGTTTTTTCTTGATTTTTCAATAACTTAGACATTACTACAAGGTGCAGGATTTACCAGCTGGGCAGCATTATCTGTTGCAGGTGCAGTAGGTGCTGCACTTTTGAGCAGACCATACATGACATATTAATTATGCTGCTGACAGTTTTGGCATTTTGAGTGCCTTGGTTTTCCTCCTTTGACAGTCTCTAAAGGTCCCAGCTGTCACATCTGTGACTGACAGGATTGAAGACAACATATCCCTGTGGGCTTGCATTTTTTTCTGTTTGGTATTCAGTAATGGCAGGGATGGGAAGCTCTTTTCCTGTTGCATTTCTATTGATCTGGCTCCTTAAGGAGTATCTGAACTCTACACTGTCTGTAACATGGTTTTTGTGGGAGCTTTTCTGTGAAGGTAATGTGGTTGTCTTGAGAAGTACCTTGCTGCCTTGGCCCCGTACCTGAATGACTTGGAGGATCTGGGTCTTTTCACATGCAAAGGGAGCCTCCGAAACAAGAAGTCACCTGCCTGTCTGCAGTGTTCTGTATGGATTTCTAGTCTGAACCAGAAAGTCAATTCTCATCCCTGCTCCTTGATCTCCTCCTTCTTTTGGGGCCTCCACTGCTGTCCAGACCTGTAAGACCTTCTTCATTCCCACAGGCTGCCTTTGATGTAATGGCCCCTACTCCCAAAGAACATCTCCTTTGATATTCTTTGGGAGTAGGAGCCATTACAAAGAACTTTCTCTTCTGCTTACTACCATACTATTGGCATAAGGATTTTCCTCACCCTGAGGGGTACATTGTTCTGGAGAAAGGCAGAGGCTGTTTGAGCTAAGTGCAAAGAAGATATATCCAGCTTTCCTTGGGACTTACCGAAGGAGCCACAGTGAGCGCTCTTGTATTAGCCCTGCATCAAAGGGGTTTTGTTAAATGCTTTTACAGGTAAAGAGGGCAATGCAAGTAAGCCAACATAGTTAAGCTTAGTAGAGGGAAAAAAATGCTAAAACCCAAATAAACATGCATGGAACATAATTTCTCTTAATCAAAACATATTCCTCTATCACTGTGAATTCTACCATGAAGAGCAGGCAGCTCTTGTAAGGATCTTCTGTGCCAAGGTTAGTGCTGCATCCTCTCTTGCCACTTAACTGTAATGGAACTTGTTTCTGTCTTGAATTAGCCAGTGTGATGCTACCTGGGGTCTCAGTGGTGTTGGTCGCCAGGAAACAAAGCAAAACCATCTCTCTCTTATTACTTTCCTTTGCAAGCTATTGGATAAGTTCAGCTTTGAGACGGGGGGGAGTAAAGAGAAAAGAAAAAAAAAAAAAGGATGGAGGCTTTTGCTGTAAAATAGAGATGTCATCTTCAGATAACAAGAAGCCATTTCCTTGTACAGGAAAAACTTCAGCTTCGTCTAAAGATGATAGGAAATATGGCTTCTATCTTTCTTTGCTTAAAAAGTGAAAGATTGTGCAGTGGTTAAGAAGGAAAAAAGGAGAAGGCATTTATATATCTCGGCATGAATGTGACAAGCCTGCAAAAAGGGTACTAGGCAGCTGTCAGAAATGCAGGCTTAAGAGAAAAACTGCCTGTCCAAACTCCCTTCACAATAACCCTGCTGCTCTAAGAAGCTGCTTCACATTGTGTCATGCTCTGTGGGGATCTGAAACATACCTGTTTCACATTGATTAACAGCAAGTCTTTTCCAATTGATTGTTCTGTGAAAATTGTCAGACAGTACTTTGTATTAGCTGAGATCTGCCAGTTGCTTTTCCTTTTTTCCTCTGCCATGACTCTGTCCAGGACTTCTAGCCGTAAATAAAAGCAGGGAGACTGTCTGACTGCTGGGCCGTGTGAAAATATGAGTGGGACTCCCTTTCAGTGCACTATGAATAAAAAAAATCATTATCCCTACTTATGTAGCAAGGGCTATGGAGAATTCAAATCTGAGCTGTAAGTATGTGTATATAGTTTTTTGTAATATTTTTGCTATTCAGATAACGTTTCCCATATGTTTTAAAAGCTTTATACTATCTTCTGACCCCCTCTGCTTCTCCTGTGATATATGAGTAGCAAGACTAGATGTTGTTCAGCTGTGTGTCTCAAAGCACTGTGCTGATGTCTTACAGACCAGCTCCATTTTACAGATATTTTCTCCACACTAGAAGCAGAGTCAGTCCAAGCAGTGAAACTGGAACCTAAGAAATCCTTAGAGAGCTCTGGATGACATCAGACTAGACTGCCCATCTCTTGACAAAGTATTTATGGGGGAGAAAACTGCCTTCAAGTGCGCCTTCTGAGCACCATAGATGATGGTGAACGTTAGATCCTCAGGAATACCCAAATACTCTTTTTTTCCCTGCCTTGCAAATGGGAATTGGGACTCTTAATGTCACTGGGCTCTGGCCCCATTGGCTCCATGCCCCAGTTATGTTCCACTGCTTTCAAGGTTTCCAGTGTATAGTGAAATATCGGAGTGTGTAAAGCCTGCTCCAATTTTGGACAAAGAAGCCAGCAGGTGAGGTAAATACAGGTAGATAAAACATAAGAGCTAGAAAAGGTGGGTTATCTCCATTTCACTCAATTGGAATAATCACCGGTTAAAACCAGAAAGACTTCCTGCTAGCCACCAACCTTTTGCTGGATGTGTTTCACTGCCAGCTGTGTCCAGTCAGTGAGTTCACAGCAAAAGCTTATTCTCATGGTAGGGGACAAGGAAGAGAAATGGCCAAAGCTAGTGGGGTGGCACTCAGCTGCTAACCTTGATTGTCTCTTGGCCTGCTTTGCCCTAACATTGAAGGGAAAGGAGCAGAGGGAAGCCTGAATGGGTTCTTGTTCTCATCACTGCCTCTTGCTGAAAACTTGCCACTCTGGAGGGTGAGTCCTGTGCCTCTGAAAGGAACATCAGTGTGGAAATGTGGCTTATGAGCAAAGTCTAGAAGAGCTGAGTTTGTTTTGTTTAGGGGAAGCAACAAAGGGACAAAGAGGTAAATAAGAAATGTGTGCTGAAGAGGAGGGGGATTTTTGTGGTGTGTGCTTTCTAGTCTAGCTAGGACAGGAAGTTATGGACTTAAATAAGGAGATCTCTGCTGGTCATGAAGAAAAGCTTCCTTACAGTATGTGCTGCTTCACAACACAGGTCACATT